GGAACCAGGGATTGAACTCAGGCCCTTGCACTTGCCAGGCAAGCACTTATTCTACTGAGCCATCTCCCCGGTCCTTTGTGTGCAGAATTCACCTCAAGGGTTTACTCTTTCTGCTTTTGAATTATCCTGCATGATGAGCTCTGCTCTTTGCTAACCTGTTTACCTTTAATCAATAAAGGGTAATTCTTTTAGGATAAACTCATAATATAGTTTATTTGGTCCTCTGAAATGTACCAGGTTCTCCTGCCTCCAGTTGTAGCCTGACAGTTGCTGACTATGACTCTCTCTCAGAGTGCGCCAGGTGTCTTCGCTGCCCTGCAGACCCAGACTTCGAGTCGGAATATGAGAAGCAGACAGGGCCTGGGCCTGGTCAGTCTGTGTGCTATCATTTTTCCAGTGACTGTAATACTGGTTTTTTCTATAAAGGTAGAAATACTGGTGTTTTCTATAAAGGTAGATATTTGGGGCCAGGAAGATAGCTCAGTAGAATAAGTGTTTGCCTGGCAAGCACAAGGGCCTGAGTTCAATCCCTGGTTCTGGAAAAAAAAAAAAAAAAAAAAAAAGCTAGATATTTAATTTTCTCTACCAATAGTGAACTTCTTCTGAAGTACTTTTCTATAATATAGGGTGTATCTCTGACCACAAAGGATTTAAACATGGTGGGATTCCTTGTTTTGGAATATTCGGATTTAATCTCCTGTTGATTAGTTTTTCTTTATATTTATAGGCATATAGTTGGAAAGAGAGGGGATACTAAGAAGAAAATAGAAATGGAGACCAAAACTTCTATTACCATTCCTAAGCCTGGACAAGATGGAGAAATTGGTGAGAATCAGTCCATATAAGTTATGTGTGCGTGTGAATGGAGCAAGGTAACTCAACTGAGTCATTCAGTGCCCTTCTCTGAAACTCAGTAGCTGTTGGCCTTTCTTTTCTCTTTTTCAGTACTGGAGATTGAACCCAGGGCCTTTGCACTGAAGTTCATCCTTAGACTTTTTTTTGAGATGGAGTCTCGTAGCATTGCCCAGGCTAGTGTTAAACTCCTGGATTCCAGAGTTCCTTCTGTCTCAGCCTTCTGAGTAGGTGGACACGTGTTGGGCACGTGTCACCATGCCCATCCACCAGTAATTCACTGTCCTTCAACACCCCAAGGTTTTGGCAGAAAAAAGTAGTAGTTTTTTTTTTTTAATGGAGGAGAAGTTTAACTTGGCTCTGGTACGAGTACTCTTTATATATATTGTGCTCATAGGAATAATGACTTTTATAAGTAAGTAGCCATTGACATTAGAACAGCATTGTCCAAAAGAATTTTCTGTGACCCTGGCAGCCACATGGAACTGTGACCCTTGAGATATGGCCACTGTGACTAAGAAGCCAAAGTTTTAGTTTTGATTGTACTTCGTTTAACTTGCTGCATGTGGGTGCTAGAGTTTGCCTATTCCTTTGGCAAGTTCAGCAAACTCTCACAGAAGAACTTTTATTTTATTAATTTATTTATTTTTTGCAGAAC